GGTACCAGCATCCCATATGGGTTGCCAGTTCATGTCCTGGATGCTCCACTTCTGCTCCAGTTCTCTGCTTTGGCCTGGGAAAGCAGTAGAAGATGGCCCAAGTGCTTGGGCCACTGCAGCCATGTGGGAGATTTGAAGAAGCTCCTAGCTTCTGATTGGCTCACCTTCCTCTGTTGCAGCATTTGGGGAATGACCCTGCAGAAGGAATAGCTCTTACTCTGTCTCTCCCTCCTTCTGTCTGTAACTCTACCTCTCAAATAAATAAATAAAATCTTTAAAAACCCAAGAGGATGGGGCTGGCACTGTGGCATAGTGTGGGTAAAGCCACCACCTGCATTGCCAGCAACCCATATGGGTGCCAGTTTGTGTCCCAGCCTCATGTCTGATCCAGCTCCCTGCTATGGCCTGGGAAAGCAGTAGAAGATGGCCCAAGTCCTTGGGCCGCTGTTCCCACGCAGGAGACTTGGAGAAAGTGCCAGGCTCCTCATTGGCCCATCTCTGGCCATGAAGCCAATTGGGGAGTGAACCAGAGGATGGAAGACCTCCCTCGCCCTCGCCCCTGCCCCTGCCCCCGCCCCCTTCTCTCTCTGTGTAATCTTTCAGGTAAATAAGTCTTGCCACTGCCTGCAACACCTGCATCCGTTTTGGGTGCCAATTCGAGTTCTAGCTGCTTCACTTCTTACCCAGCTCTCTGCTAATGAGCCTGGGAAAACAGCACAAAGTAGCCCAAAGCCTTGGGTCCCTGCACCCACTTGGGAGACCCAAGGGAAGCTCCTGGCTCCTAGCTTCAGATCACCCCAGCTCTGACTGTTGCAGCTATTTGGGGAGTGAACCAGTGTATAGAAGATCTGTCTCTCCCTCCCTCTGTTTACTCTGCCTATCAAATAAAATAAATCTTTTTAAAAAACCCCAAAACTTTAAACATTGTTTAAATTAAAAAACATGGTGTGTTGTGTGTGTGTGTGTGTGTGTATATATATATATATATTCTCTAGCTCTTTCGACTGACACTGTCTCCTAGGAACACCCTAATGTCCAGATCGTGTTTTTAAAATATTATTAACCACTGTAATAAATTAGAGTTTCTTGAATAAACGGCTATTCCAGGGCTGGAGCAAGGAAAGAACAAGGCAAATCTTAGAGTACCTTGTGCCAGGAAAAAACTAAGTTCTCAAAAAATTATAGACAAGTCAAAATGAAACAGAAGTCAGCTTGCAGGGGCTCACTGGCTAAATAGGGCACAGTGTGGACAGCAAAGTAAATGGTGGTAATGAATTATAACTCATTATAATTTGACTAAGACAGAAACCATGGGTCCACAGTGATCTCATAAATGAAGCTGGAAACTTGATGAGCAACAGTCTCCTAGTACCTCCCTTACCAGAAACTTTACAATGGACATGACTTACAACCTCATTTAAATCAAGTAATCTGAGTGAACATCATCAAATCAAAACTGCATGCCACTTAAGGCAATGAGAAGGGAATCACTTCTGTGGTATTCCCGCCAAAGTTGCAAAACCTACTCTAATTAAGAGAATATCAGAAGCACCTTAGAGAAATTCTGCAGTATAACTGGTCTGTGGTCTTCAAGAATGTCTAGGTCATAAAAGCAAAGAAAGAAATAATCATTAGGAAATGACCCAGAATGAAAGAGACTAAAAAATATGGCAATCAAATACAACACATGATTTTTTGGAAAGATTTATTTTGTTTCTTTGAAAGGGTTACAGAGAGAGGTAGAGAGAGATACAGATAGAGAGAAAGATAGGTCTTCCATCTGCTGGTTCACTCCCCAGATGGCTGCAATGGTGGGAGATGCACTGATCTGAAGCCAGGTGCCAGGAGCTTCTTCTGGGTCTCCCACGCGGATGCAGGGGCCAAAGACTTGGACCATCTTCTACTGCTTTCCCAGGCCATAACAGAGAGCTGAATCAGAAGAGGAACAGCCAGGACTTGAACTGGCACCTGTATAGGATACCAGCACTGTAGGCCAGGGTGTAACCTGCTGCGCCACAGTGCCGGTC